ATATAAAGCCATGCCTCACTAACCACGGCTAAATAGGAGGGTGACGTAGGGTACTTGATTTTATTACCGAAAGAGTGAGGTCAGGAAATGTGATTTTCCCTTGTGATGATTTCGTCAGATTGCGCTTTTGTGATACCAGGATTTATATATCAGGCATCATCCGTTTCACATCAAAAGATATGCCCTTACATGAGTTGATACAGCTGTTCGTTCCCTATCGTGCAGATATCATTACATTTTAGAATTACAGCTTTATCAAAACATAATGAATATGGAAAGATGTAAAAAACTGCCACAGAGACATAACACTTTTCCCACGCATATATTGAGCCAATCAGCGATCATGATGGTAAGCGTGTTATCCCAGGAGGCGAGATTGGGAGGGGAGGCACAGAGGGAAATCACCCGCTAAATACATAGGCGGAGCGGAGGGCGTGGACGGGGGTTGGACGGGGCGATCGGCTATGAAATTAGGAGGGAGGGGCCCGAGCTGTGATCACGGATGCTGAGAAGCCGAATAAAAGCACTCGAAATAATTCCTCAGAATTTAAGTATTTCTTTTAACACAATGATTTGATTTGATTTTGTTTAATGGAAGTTTTTTTTTTCTTTTTTGGACATGATGGATATTGATAATTACCTGAGTTTCAGAGAGATTGAGGGCCTGGGCGAGCTGCTTCCTCTCGGCGCCCACCACGTACTGGTTCTTCTCGAAGGCTTGCTCGAGCTTGAGGAGCTGGCTCGGGCTGAACGCCGTCCGGATCCTCTTGGGCTTCCGGAAGGGCAGGAGGAATGTTGGGAAATCGTGGCCTGGAATGTAAATACGGACGCGTTAGTTTGTCTTTAGATTATCGTTTCCCACTTAACTGTTGCATGACAATCTAAATTGCATACATACCTACATATCTATACAACTGAAAATCTATTTATCTCTATATACATCTTGATATCCAGTAAAACTGAAATCTAAGCCTAGAGCAAATTATACTCCGGCCTCGACAGTAGCCTATATTTGCCACACTTAATACGGAAAAAAAAACAAGACGCAGGGACTTACCGCCGGGGAAACCTGGAGGGAAGATTCTGCCGTGACGACTCAGCAGCCAAGGGTAGAGTGGGTAATCACGAGGTCCAGGGGCAGGTGGCAGCGGCGTACCCAGCTGTGGCACTTGGCCCTGTGCGAGGAGGGGGTGGTGCATGAGGGGCGACGAGACGTGTGGGTGCATGGCGTAGCCTCCGAGGGGGAGCAGCTGTGGCGGGTGCATGCCGGACCCGGGGAAGTTCGGTGGAGGGAGAGACGCGGGACTTGTGGGCGGCGGAGTGGCCTTCTTGTCGTCCTCGGCGTGGGAGATGGGCGAGAGAGTGCGCTGAGTGGGAGATGTCAAGGGAGAAGTGTGGGGGTGCTCGAGTCTGTTGTCTCTGGCTTGCTGGACGCGGAGAAGCTGTTCCTTGAGCAACTGATCCCGCAGCTGGTCCCGGAGGTGTTGCTCCCTGGCCAGGAGGAAATCCCGGGGAAGGTTGAGACCGGCCTCCCGCAGAACCTGCTGGTGCGGAAGGGTGTCTGGCAGCTTGGTGAGCCCCGGCGCGGGCGGGGAGACGGACGCCCTCTTCTCATCTCCGCATCCCACCAGAGATTCTATGGAAAAACCAAGACGTGGGCGTGTGGGCACCACGGGCGTTGGCGCTTGTGGCATCATCAAGTCTGGGTTCACTGACTGATCCGAACGAGTCGCTAACACAAATGCACTGTGAACTGTCACACACTAAGACAACTAAGTGTTGCCCTGCTTCTTCTACACAGAAAAGTCACAATCTTAGAAGGTCACAGGATAACTCGTTTCCTGAGGTCAGCACGCAAGGAGTTCACGTGGACTTATACGGCAAGGTGGAACTGTTCTACGCCTTTTACGTTGTTCTGTCTGTTCTTAGCGCCATTATGAGGCAGCGCGGTCAATGATTGGTCAATTAGCACCCGATTCTCTGTTATTGCGTTTAATGGCGCGATCCTATTGGCTGGCTCGGAAACTAAGCTCCGCCTCCGCTGAAGCAGATGCCAACGAGTAAAATCCTAATATTGGGAGTTTACCATTATTGAAACATTATTGAAGTAACTCATCCCTATCATTTAAAAGATATCACTAATATACTACTGAGCAACAGATAGCAATTTTCCGATACAGTCCCTTTAACCAAGAAAATAAAAATAAAAATGAAGACAACGCGCGCGAAACACCGCAGCTGATGCCACTTTGGACGAAGACAGTTCCAACCCACTGACTCTCACGCCATCTCTCGCTACCTTTTGGAACTACAACCTGGTTCATCGCTGTCCTTTATTCATCATTTCCTGATAACACATTTTTAAACGGATTGATCTCACTCTAAAAAGCTTAACACTTGACAAACGGGAAATTATCGTAAAGGTCAAAATATATCTAAATGAGATGAATTCATGTTTTAGGGTAAGTATGAATTAGCTTAGGTGTACATTCCTCACTACTAACATTTTTACCCACAAATCCACCAACCACCATATTCCTGTTTTTTTCACACTCAACATATTTGTTTCAGTCCTTCCTACTCTTTGTTTAATTTAGTTCTAGGCTTTATAAAGGCTTTGGGAAACTGATATCTTCTGATGGCTATTCATGGATTGTGAAAAAGATCTATGGATACTTATAAAATATCCACAAGGGAGACAGAGATAAAAGGAAAAATAGGAAAAATAGTGATGTGAAATTGTAATTTTGTATTGTGGATGCCCCTTTATGTAAAGTAACATTTTGTTGCACTCCGAGGGCGGAATCTAAGGTTAACCTTTATCCAACCGACAAAGAAAAAAAATGTTTACTTAGATTTACGAAAAAATAGCACACACACACATACATATATATAAACATGTATATATATATATATATATATATATATATATATATATATATATATATATATATATATATATATGTGTGTGTGTGTGTGTGTGTGTGTGTGTACGAATGTATCCATGTATGTATGTATAGAGAGAAAGAGAGAGAAAGATATTCATCAGTTTATTCGTCCTCTTGTTAGAATTTCCAAAGATAAGTGATTTTTTCTGCCCGAAAAATACCATATATGAATGTGATATTCGGATAATACCAACTAAGTTAGGTATTGAATAAACACTTGTAAAATTACAGCCAGTTCATTCACACAGTAAAGATATATTGCTTATGAAATCCAATAAGCTAATGACACCTGTATGAAATGGATATATATAAAATACACGACTTCGGTAAAATAAAAAAAACTTGAGAATATTATCATTAAAGTTAATAATCTAAAATCAAAATGCTTCTTAAGAATTCTCCTCTGTCTTTATGCCAGAGTATATGACAGGTGAAAGTGGCAATCGTTGTCGATGAGATCACTAGTATGAATGAAAGAGATTTAAGTAGTGTTAGTGCCAGAGACACTCAGACATCAAGCCATGACAAATTATCGAATGCTCTTGAAGAACCATTAAGCTGAATGTGTAAGTCGCCGTTAGTGGGACATCGTAGTGTAAATGGCTGTGTATATGCATGTATGCTATTAGCCTCGATTACCTGTTATCATTTGTAAGAAAGTGTAAGTGAATGCGACGGCTTCAGTGGCAAGTGGACGTGAAGATAATAACATCCACTAACTCTTCAAAATAGCTTCATAAAGACTGAAATTCAGTGTTTTGAGGTGAATGCACCGTCACATGTTTTCTTCATTGTCAATTGGAAATGAATCATAGATGTACAAATTGACTTTTCATTTTTAAACCTCTTATGATTAAGTCAAATGTGTCCTGCAAGAATTGAAGTGATATAATAAAAGTAAAAGAAAATTTTTATTCTTTATTGGGAACACCAAGTCCGCCATAATTCCTATTGGCACTTATTCACTGAATATAGAAGCAAGTCACCGAGGTAAAGCTATATTCAGTGAAGTACAATGGCATATTCTACAAGAAAGAATATATAGGGAAACTTCGAAATAATTTATTGAATTTCGGTGTATAGTAAAATCAAATACGATTTATACACTACCGTAAGTTTTGAGAGTGCTATGAGATACCATGAAATTGACGAAACTAACTTTTTTAGAATTAAGTGAAGTGAAAAGAAGCTTTCAGGCAACACTTTAAACCAACACCTCTTTTCATACACCTCCATAAAACGCGGGGAAATGGTTGGTTGTATAAATAATAAGCAAGCTTTCTCTGCAGGCAAGGCAGGCTGACAGTCAGTAAGCTACTACGAGCAGGGAGGAAGACGGTCCCCCCGCCCCTAACCCTCACTAGGGGAGGAGGGGGGGGGTAGGGGCGGCTGAAGGGTAGGAAGGAGTAAGGGACATGGAAGAGGGGAGGAGGGGGGGCGGGGGAGAAGGAGGGTGAGGAGGAGGAGCACTATATTCATAGACTGGCAGTCCCCTGGGTCTTGTAAAGCCATAAAATAATACTTACTCGCTATTGTGAAACGAAATCTTAGCACTTACACAGACTCGGTGGGATTAAGGGTGAGCGAATCTGTGTTTTGGAAACGTTGAAATAGGAAGTAAATAAAGGACTCAACCAGAAGTCACGGAGAAAAAGGGTAATATCTCTACTATTATAGATATAACAAATAGGGGATCCTTAGATGTATAAGCTTGGAAAGTGTCTAATGCTACTTAGAATTGAGTCCTTTTTAGCGGGATTCAAATGCTCAAAAACTTCCAAGTCGTTTCTTTTTCAGCTTCTCCAGGTGTGCCAAAGAATTCTTCGAACTAAAACTTTAACGTCTGAATTACTTGCACTGAATTACGGGGAAATATATCGTAAATATATATGATATATGTACAGTATATGATACGCTATATGTACACATTTGTATTGGATCTTGCGCGTGTGAGTGTTAGGAAATACTTGTGTGTGTGTGTGTGTGTGTGTGTGTGTGTGTGTGTGTGTGTGTGTATGCGTGCGTGCGTGAGCGTGTGAGTGAGCGAGTGAGTATATATTATGTTGGTCATGTACAAACAATAAAACTTGTTTCCATTTGAAACTCATGAAAAAGTCACGCAACCCGACAGACAGACACCCACAGCTGGTGTGATCGAAATTGTGATAAAAATAAAATTTAACATTCTATGCTATTTTTTATCTTTTATCTTTACAATATTCTTTATGTTCGATGCTACAAAGTACAGGAAAATTATTGTATGACCATTTTCAAACTTGTGTTACTGAACTCCATAAAGTTTTATATAATAAAAAAAAAAGTTGATACAAGTATTTACCCTTTACAACAACTATACAAATAGCATACGTTTTCCTCCGTTTCCAATCACCCCCCCCCCCCTTTCCCAGTTCAACCCCATCCCCCTCCCGCTGAAGTGTGCCCGAGTCTCCAGCATCTGTCCTCAAGGAAGGACCAGATTTTCACGGCCGTCCAAGATGAGCCGACAAGTTGACCTCCCTCCACCCCGCCCCTTGACCTAGCTTCCGAGGGCCGGTTCACGGTCAAGGAGCTAGAATCTGAACATGTAAAGAGAATTTCCTGGAGAGTATCTTGCTTGGGAGGAGGCGGGAGCGAGGACTAAGCTACACAATATGTATTTCTTTGTTCAAGATTATGTGTGTTCAGGGAGGAGGACGGTATGTGTGTGCATGTCTTTAGTGTATGTTGTACAGTTATGGTTGAATACACGGAATTGCAGATATTCATACAATTCATTTATTTGGAAACCTTAAAAAAAAAATCATATTTTAGTTTTGGATATATGGCATTTCTCCCGGTAAATCTAATTATCACCAAAGGTAGTGACTGAAAAAAAAGATAAAGATAAAAACAAGCGAGATGCATATCTCTGAGAAAGACAATAAAAACAGCATCAATTTCAAGGCCACACAAGAAAATCTCGGACAGCAAAGTGACCTGACCTGACCTCTTGTCGCCTCCGCCTCACTCCCCCTCGATCGGCCTGACCTCACGAGAGCAATCAGGACCTTTGGCTATGTGAAGACCCATTTTTTTCAGTCAGAAGATGAGCATCAAATTGTCCAGATAAATTGTGTCGGGAGCTTTTAACTTTACAGGCCACATGGGACCAATTTCGAGGGGGCGGAGCAAACAGAGTATAACCGCAACCAAGAGTCACAAGGCTCATTTCCATACTGGAACAACGTGAGAAAATGAGCCTTAAGGGGAGAGGAGAGATATGTCCTTCTTTCGCTTGTAAAGGCCTTAGACGACTGCCATGGGCTTAATATTGCTTTATTGTAATGTGATGGCGTTTAGGTGCGATGTCGGGGAATTCATAACAAGGCGATCATCTTTTCTCGCCTCATAACAGCCGGCTGCTCTTATCATCATCATTATTGGTATTGTGATAATAATTAACATAATGGTAATGGACGTGATAATCATGGTAATAATCATCATCGTAATAAAAGTAGCAACAACAACTACAGCGATAATGGTGATGCTGATGATAATAACAATAATAACAGTGATAATGATAATATCAATGATAAAGATGAAAAATAATCATAGTAATAATGATGATGTTATTCATGGTAATAATCATATTAATAATAATGATAATGACATTACTACAACTACTACTATTACTACTACTACTAGTAACAATAATAATAATGATAATAATAATAATAATAATAGTAATAATAATAGTAATAATAATAATAATTATGATAATAATAATAATAATAATGATAATGAAAATAATGATAATAATAATAATAATAATAATAATAATAATAATGATAATAACGATAATAATAATAATAATAATAATAACAATAATAATAATAACAATAATAATAATAATAACAATAATAATAATAATAACAATAATAATAATAATAATAATAACAAT